TCAAATTACCTACTACCTTATTTTTCCCCGGGACTCAATTTACCGCTTTCAAAATGTACCAAACTTATCTCGGACTCAATTTACCTAGCCCCAGAATCATGATACCACTTCAATTTTCATAAATGCGGGACCAAAGTGGGACATTTAGATATGCGGGACGCACCTCTGAAAAACGGGACAATCCTCTCTTATGTGGAACGTCTGGTCACACTAGCTATAGTATGTATGATTGGAATGGCTGATTATTTTTAATCTTATGTACATTCWWATATATAAATTAATGATTGATAATAATACATTTTTTTAATGGGTGAACTATTATAGTACATGTTTTTTTTAGAATTMATTTGATTTATATAATTTAATTTTTGGATCGATGAATTCATTGTTTTTGTATACCCGTGTGTGTTAAGAAACAAATGTCGTGTTTAAGAATAAAAACTCAATGACGAGGTAGGTAAATTAGAAATATACAATGCCTACAGAAGAGAGAGATCCTTGATCTTTAAATATGTATATATAATTTGAAACATTCTGTTTGTTTAAATATTGTAAGTTATTTAGTCATATCAAGGGATAGGGGATTAATTCCCTAAAAACCCATTAAATATGCATCAATTATATACATCTAAAATATATATATATATAGTCAACTCTAATAAACGTAATGTTTTATAAATTTTTATTAAGAACCTAAATATTATAGGTACAAAGGTATAATTTTTGAAGAATATAATATTATAATATAAATAATATTAACGGTGCGACATTAAYWGTGCCGTAGGAAAGATTTTTTCAGGAGGGGGCTTCAATATTTTATTGCTCGGCCTAGGTTATTATCGGTTTGGCCAGAGAGGAAGAAATGCGAATATTAATTCCTCCTTCGATTCTTGATACCACAAGAAAAAAGGTCATTATCAGTACTACCGGATATAGAAAGTTTGAAATTTGGGGGTAAGGCTTAAATTCTTAAACTCTCCTAGCTATTGATAGCCATTGTATATTGTGTATAGATGGTAGATCGTATGGGTGTACACAAAACAAAAATATTTATCAGAAAATTCCATAGAATTATTGAAAGTTAATAACATTATCATAACTTAATACGATACATATATTTTACAATTTGTTTAAAGCTGTTTTAAAAGAGAACCTACCTAATAATTTTTAATCGTATATTAAATGTCAATGTTTTTTAATGTAAAATATCAATGACAAAAGACTAAAATTTGCAAAATACATTGTTACTTTTAATTCCCAGAAGTCCGCAACCCTAAATATAAATATAATATTTACAATATATTGTATCAATTTAAAGGAACTAAAAAAATATTCAAGTCTATCTAGAAATTTGGAAGAAGAATTTTTCCTCTCAAAGACTTCGGGTCATAATTGAATAGTTCTTGCATGTGTATATGTACAATGAGCGCATGCTGCACTTAGTGTTTATACCAGAGGTATTCAAACTTTTTCAGCACGCGGCTCCTTTGGGTGTTCACAATATGTTTACGGCTCCCAAATTATTATGAAAAAATTGAAACAACACACG